TATCTCTGACAAATTATCACACAGATTATATCTCTGACAAATTATCACACAGATTCTATCTCTGACAAATTATCACACAGATTATGTCTCTGACAAATTATCACATAGATTATATCTCTGACAAATTATCACAGATTGTATCTCTGACAAATTATCACACAGATTCTATCTCTGACAAATTATCACACAGATTATATCTCTGACAAATTATCACACAGATTATATATATAAAATATCAGATAGATTGAATCATATCTCTAGATTTGATTGTAACATCATGATAAACACAAATAAATGTCATCATGGCGTTTATTAAACAGAAAGTAGAATTTTGAATTTCAGTTATGTTTTGTGTGTTCTCACTGTCTTTAACCTCGGAGTCTGATAAGCTCATGGGGTGGGTCCAATTTTTAATGAGAACAAAACCTGGCTATAACTTTCAGCTATAGTATTTGTTTAACAAGAAGGGTTGTGCCTTACATCTAACTCTTGCTTATTAATAGAAACATACTTTATATCACTATACAAGATGTCCATATGGGCTTAATGGTCAACTGAGTGATATTGCTGGGTAGAATCTTAAACTGCACACATACTGATATAAGCCAAATATCTTAACATCAAACATCTACATTGTATATGTTTACAGATTCTGATCGTCTAAGGGTGACTTTATGGAATTTAGGTGAAATTCTGCAGTAAGGTTTAGAGGATACTTTTTGGTTGGAGTATAAAAAGAACTTTTTATGTAGAACAAAAACATCTGCTGAGGTACAGTTTATGTATGATAAAGTCCATTTACCTGACAAGAGCAATGACAATCTCATAACCTAGAGATATGGCACCCAGGGTCATGGTCCAGGGGACAATCCAGTCAAGCCAGGCTGTAAACTGAGGCTGTGAAAAGGCTGTAAACACAATTGTTAAACTTGCTTAGGATTAAATTCAATAAAATGGATCGTCTCTATTCAAATATTTTTCAACCAAATACTTTTTTAGAACAAGAGGCTCAGATGACCTGTATTGCTTACCTGTATTTTGATTAATGATGGTGTCAACATGGACATGAATATTGCAGGTTAACTGACACATCAAATCTTGTTACACCTGGTGTTCTAAACCAGGTTAACTGACACATCAAATCTTGTCACACCTGGTGGTCTATACCAGGTTAACTGACACATCACATCTTGTCACACCTGGTGGTCTATACCAGGTTAACTGACACATCAAATCTTGTCACACCTGGTGGTCTATACCAGGTTAACTGACACATCAAATCTTGTCACACCTGGTGGTCTATACCAGGTTAACTGACACATCAAATCTTGTCACACCTGGTGGTCTATACCAGGTTAACTGACACATCAAATCTTGTCACACCTGGTGGTCTATACCAGGTTAACTGACACATCAAATCTTGTCACACCTGGTGGTCTATACCAGGTTAACTGACACATCAAATCTTGTCACACCTGGTGGTCTATACCAGGTTAACTGACACATCAAATCTTGTCACACCTGGTGGTCTATACCAGGTTAACTGACACATCAAATCTTGTCACACCTGGTGGTCTATACCAGGTTAACTGACACATCAAATCTTGTCACACCTGGTGGTCTATACCAGGTTAACTGACACATCAAATCTTGTCACACCTGGTGGTCTATACCAGGTTAACTGACACATCAAATCTTGTCACACCTGGTGGTCTATACCAGGTTAACTGACACATCAAATCTTGTCACACCTGGTGGTCTATACCAGGTTAACTGACACATCAAATCTTGTCACACCTGGTGGTCTATACCAGGTTAACTGACACATCAAATCTTGTCACACCTGGTGGTCTATACCAGGTTAACTGACACATCAAATCTTGTCACACCTGGTGGTCTATACCAGGTTAACTAACATGTCAAATCTTGTCACACCTGGTGGTCTTTGAACTTTGAACACTGTCTGCTAACTTTGCACATGTAGAATGTAGCTGAGCACAATCTACCATTTACAGTGGTCAACCACGTCACTGTTAAACTTTCCTTTACACTTTACACATCATATAAAGAAACCATTAATTGACATTAGAGATTTGTCACTCTAACAAAATTGGTACTGGCCTGTCTGGTTGTGCCTGCTAGTAATGAGTCTGAGAGACTTTTCTCTACGATGAACAATGTTCATACCAAATAACATAACTCAACGAAACTATGCAAAAATATGAAACCCTGGTGAGCACTCAACTTTTACAAACAAAATCAGACTGTTTACTTAATTTGTGTTGGTCACCCTGAATTGACTCATAATATACAAATTGTTACAAATATATTGCTTGTAAATTTGTGACTTTAAAATTAATTTTACAAAACTGAGAAATGCTCGAAATGTTTCATGCACTTTACCCTATGTCTGGGACTTTGCTCAGTGAGACAAGTCCCTCAGAGGGGGTTCCAGACAATGACGAGTATGACAACAGATGCCCCCCCCTCCCTGTCAGTTCACAGGTCCAGGAGAGCGAGAGAAGAAACTCTCTGATAATTACAGGTCTCCAGCTTATCACCTGTTACTGTATGACTTTGTAAAATTAAACTTCATTAACTTACAACAATTATGAAACATGTATTAATCATGTTTGTTGGCTTGTATGTTAGCATATAGGAGGTCTTAATGTGGGAAGAAACCAAAGTTTCCAGAGAAAACCCACATGGTAGAAGATGAGTGTACTGTCCATTGCACCAACTGACACTTATTGAGTGCCATCAGAAATCACCAAAACTTACCTACACTGGAGGAAATGGAAAAGCTGGGGCTTAAGTTCACTTTTAAAGAAAACAGATGCCACGTCTGGTACCCAATATAGCCGTAGGCCAATACTGAGGCTAACAAGTTTATTGTTCCACCAAGCCATGAAGATTTTCTTTCTGTGAAAGTAAAATGAATAGTTCCATCATAGAAATCATCAAACCTTCAAAATCTGCTCACAGATAATCTTTTTTAGCTGAAACAAAACATTAATACAGAAAGTTTATAAACTTGCTCATTACTGAAACAGTACTTGGGTCTATTTAATTTGGTGTCAAAGCACACAATAATCCCACCTTAGGGCGAGACAAAGCATGTGTAGGTGGTATTGTACAAAGATATAAAGTTATATATTGTAACAAGGTAAACTTATATATCGTAACAATATAATGTAATATGTCGTAACAATATGTTATACATTGTAACAATATAATGTCATATGATGTAATGTTATATATTGTAAAAATGAAATGTTATAGATTGTATTGTTATATATACTGTAACAATATAATGTCATATAATGTAATGTTATATATTGTAAAAATGTAATGTCATATAATGTAATGTTATATATTGTAACAATGTAATGTTAAATAATGGAATGTTACATATTGTAACAATGTAATGTCATACATTGTAACAATGTAATGTTATATATTGTAACAATGTAATGTTATAAATTGTAACAATGTAATGTTATATAATGTAATGTTATATATTGTAAGAATGTAATGTTATATATTGTAAGAATGTAATGTTATATAATGTAATGTTATATATTGTAACAATGTAATGTTATATATTGTAACAATGTAATGTTACATATTGTAACAATGTAATGTCATATAATGTAATGTTATATATTGTAACAATGTAATGTTATATATTGTAACAATGTAATGTTACATATTGTAACAATGTAATGTCATATAATGTAATGTTATATATTGTAACAATGTAATGTTATATATTGTAACAATGTAATGTTACATATTGTAACAATGTAATGTCATATAATGTAATGTTATATATTGTAACAATGTAATGTTATATATTGTAACAATGTAATGTTACATATTGTAACAATGTAATGTCATATAATGTAATGTTATATATTGTAACAATGTAATGTTATACATTGTAACAATATAATGTCATACAATTTAGTGTTATACATTGATCATAGTATACATTGTAGCAAGGTAAGATGTTTTATATTGTATCATGGTAATAAAATACACTGTAATACCACAGTTAACATCTTACCTTTCCTATAACCGAAGTGTTCGTCGTCCAGTAGGGCTATACAGAGAACTATAGTTAGTAGATTGAAGAAGTTGTAGTTACCGGTCAGTAAGATCAGGGTCTGGAGTAACAACTACAACAAACAAACAAGTTACAGGTCATTTCACATACATATCATATATACATACCCACACTTTTCTTTTTTACTTTTATAAAATTTACATTTTTTGCCTTCATAAGGTTCTTTATATGCTGATACAATCAAAGCAACACGAAACTTGATCGGAAAATTAAGGCAGGGTACAATAATGATCATATTCGTAAATTTGCAAAATCTATTAACACAAGAGTTTTAAGAGGGATCTTGGCACCCTTCATTGTAAGATCTTTATTAATTCTACGTAAGTTTATCTCCTCTCTTCATTTTTTTTAATCTGTTGGACTGATAGTCTTGTCAACAGTAAATACATCTTTTGGTAACTCTTGATTAAAACTCCACACAGCTGGGTTTGAGTGTCCTTTCAAAGTGAGGTCAATGTTTACTTCTAGAGAAATAGTGATAGCAAACTTGAACTGTCAAAATCCAAGAAGGCTGCCAAGAGGTTATCATGTTTTCCCAATCAGAATTGAATACACAACTATGGACCCAGGGAAACTTGCATATGAAATCTAATAAGGATCTGTCTAGCACTTCTTGAGAAAAAGCGATAACAAGAATTGTTTAAGGATGGATGGTCTATGAACAACAGACAGACCGTGGAGGGCGATTTGAGTTCATATGCAGAATCTGATGATGGTGGACTAATAAACTTAGCTTTTAAAAGACAAATAGTCTCAATAGAATTTTTTGTTCTTGAAGAAGCCAGCATTGAACATGGTGGATTTTTAGAGCGTGGCAGATCTTACGACATACTATCAACATATCTAGTTTATTTACTGGGCCAGAGAACAAACACTCCAAATACAGAACTGCCTTAATTATAAATGTATTGGTATAAGTTTATAAGGCTGACAAAACAGCCATTCAGGAAATATGTGTTATCACACCACACAATAAGTCAGAAATGATCAGGACAGATTGGGTGTGTGACACATTTCAAGGAACATTTAACCTTTTGTATATTAATAGTGTTTTGATGTTACTGCCATCATACNCACAGCCCCCTCTCCCCTCAACCAAAGGTCTGTCTAAAGAAAGACAATCCATACACTAAAAGTCCATATAAGTGATATATCACAAGACTTGTCAAAGGAAAGCAATTGTTTTCTTAACAGTTTTTGTACTAAACTTTTCGTCCCTTCTGATTTTAAGTCCCTTCTTCTCATAGAGTGGTACCGTATTCATTTTTGAACCTGCGGGTTACTTACAGTCAAATTTCAAATAATATGATAGAGTTTTATTGAAATTTGACAGGCCTTCCGCATATGTCTATGATTCAGAACTTTGAGCCATCAGATTCTGGCAACCTTTCGAGTGTTAGACATGATAAACTGTAAAAGTGGAAGTTCTTGCGTGTCGCAGTGTGGAAATATTCACGTAGGCCATGGTTCTGAAATCGGATATTTTCATGCTAATTAACCAATGCAAGAAACAGTTTTACAGTAACAGACAATTTTGTTTATTAACAATTATTTATGGGGCTGAGATGAACTTTCTCTGTTCCACCAAAATATAATAGGAGATAGTTATATAAGACTTAAGTAAAATGTGTGAAACCATCAGCCATAAGATTTTTACATCCAGGCTATAACCTTTCCAATTGGCATCAAAATCTTTGATTCTTTCATCTGGAAACCATCAGAAAATCAGAATGCTGCTTAACATTATAGATAAGATATTCCTGGATAATGAGAAACAATAAACTTTGGTTGGGTACTTGGGTTGCTTGTATTCTCGCCAAATGGCATCAAAATTTAAACAATTCTTTTCACGACATCATCCGTAAACTTATAATCAGCCAATCAGATTGCTGCTGATCTTTATTATATATGTGCAGCTTATGCCACACCTTTAATAATCTTATCCATGCTTTGAAGCATAGTAAAACCATAATGTTTTGCACTTAATCGGACAATCAGGAAAAATTCGAAACAGTGAGATTTTGACTCACGGATGTTGAACTTTAAACCTCTGTGAGATCCTGTATAATACATTTGTATTGCGTAAGACTGTGATTATTAATGACTGAACACAAGGCATGAATTATTTAATTTGAAATCTAAAAATATTGGATATTATGTAATTAGAAGGATACATGTATTTATACACTGTAATTTGCATGTTTAGGTTTAAATCAGCCCAGGACATTTCCATTTTCTTGTAAAGATGATTGTTTTTTTTTATTTATTAGTTGTAAATTTCAATGTTTTTTCTAATAATTGGACGTTGATAGTAGTTCGAAACAACGAGAAATTTGACTCATAAAAGTTTGATTCATAAATGGAATATCAGTAGTGTTATATAAGAAAAAAAATCCAGACTTTGCCGTAAGTTCCACACATCGAGAAATACGAATCTTCGAAGTTTGAGTTATGGAAATTCAATTTATGGAAGTTCTTAGGAAATTATGATCAAAGTTATTTGAAAGTGAAAGTTGAATTTACATACTGATCATTACGATGGCAAAGTGACATCTTCTCGAATTTTTCAAACAGGCTGATAATAAAGCAGATATAAATAACAATTAACAAATTATTTTTGTTATTACTATATATCAATTTGTATTGATATCTTCCCATGTTTCCACATCAATCTATGTCTGATTATTATAGGGCATCTCACTTCCGGTTCAGACGACCTAAAAACGATCGAAAACAGCTTCACTGTTTTTTTTATAATATATCGTTTATTATAATATTTTTCTCTGGCAAATGGAATATCATAATCAGAGGGTTCCACTGTATATCCTTATCTGTGGACGCCAATACTGACAACATGTAACAATTGACTTATAATACGTATAAATAATTCCTATATGATGCCTTTGATTGCCACAACAGTTTATGGAGTAGGTAGTAATGCTGACAGAAAACCTTTCCGGCTGAATTTGTGTCTTCTTTCGGTGTTACTATTAGTATTACTGCATCTCTAGTATAAAGTCTGTAGTATTACCACAACTCTAGTATAAAGTCTGTAGTATTACCACAACTCTAGTATGAAGTCTGTAGTATTACCACAACTCTAGTATAAAGTAATACCACAACTCTAGTATAAAGTCTGTTTTATTACTGCATCTCTAGTATAAAGTCTGTAGTATTACCACAACTCTAGGATAAAGTCTGTAGTATTACCACAACTTTAGTATTCTAGTATAAAGTCTGTAGTATTACCACAACTCTAGTATAAAGTCAGTAGTATTACCACAACTCTAGTATAAAGTCTGTGGTATTACCACAACTCTAGTATAAAGTCTGTATTATTACCACAACTTTAGTATAAAGTCTGTAGTATTACCACAACTCTCGTATAAAGTCTGTAGTATTACCACAACTCTAGTATAAAGTCTGTAGTATTCCCACAACTCTAGTATAAAGTCTGTCGTATTACCACAACTCTCGTATAAAGTCTGTAGTATTACCACAACTCTCGTATAAAGTCTGTAGTATTACCACAACTCCAGTATAAAGTATGTAGTATTACCACAACTCTAGTATAAAGTCTGTAGCATTACCACAACTCTAGTATAAAGTCTGTAATATTACCACAACTCTAGTATAAAGTTTGAGTATCACCACAACTCTAGTATAAAGTCTGTAGTATTCCCACAACTCTAGTATAAAGTCTGTAGTATTCCCACAACTCTAGTATAAAGTCTGTAGTATTCCCACAACTCTAGTATAAAGTCTGTAGTATTCCCACAACTCTAGTATAAAGTTTGAGTATTACCACACCTCTAGTATAAAGTCTGTAGTATTACCACAACTCTAGTATAAAGTTTGAGTATTACCACAACTCTAGTATAAAGTCTGTAGTATTACCACAACTCTAGTATAAAGTCTGTTGTATTACTGCATCTCAGTATAAAGTCTGTACTCTTACCACAACTCTAGGATAAAGTCTGTAGTATTACCCCAACTCAAGTATAAAGTTTGAGTATTAACAAAACTCTAGTATAAAGTCTGTACTCTTACCACAACTCTAGGATAAAGTCTGTAGTATTACCCCAACTCAAGTATAAAGTCTGTCGTATTACCACAACTCAAGTATAAAGTTTGAGTATTACCACAACTTTAGTATAAAGTCTGTAGCATTACCACAACTCTAGGATAAAGTCTGTTGTATTACTGCATCTCAGTATAAAGTCTGTAGTATTAACAAAACTCTAGTATAAAGTCTGTAGTATTACCACAACTCTAGTATAAAGACCAGATTTACTGTTTTGTAGGAACTAAGTTTAGTAAAGTCAGTTAATGACAAACACTAAAATAAAATTTCACCTGCTTATGATCCCTACTTAATTCATATTGCATTAAAAAGTTACAGTTGTCAGTAATTTTTATTAATTGATACACAGCGTAAAAGATTTAAACTAATTGTTCAAACTTGAAAGCAAGACCATTTATCGTAATTCTTCCATTATATGGTTCTGTGGTGCCTCTGTTCCCATGACCAGTCGGATAATCAATTTAAGCTTAGCTTACAAAACCAGATACATTTAATAACTAAAACATGATACTCCAGTAATTTTATTTGAAAATATTGTAAGATATCTTCAAATCTTCAATTCTAAAACAGATCAAAATCAATTTAAAAATACATACACCTTTCAGGACTACATAAATCGTTTTAAGTAGTAATACAAGAAGAATATCTATTCAACTCTATCGCTGGGTGCGTAGAATCAGATCCTAGATGTGAGAAACGATAACAGGCTCGGGAACATTGGGCATAAATAAAAATAGCATTGAGTGTTTTACATAGACTCCACTGACAAACTGTTTAAAAGGTGTGTCGTGATAACCCCTGGTTATCAAGCCTCATTTGTACCAATGTAACCAGCCTTGTGGGTGTGATATTCACCCGAACCACGGTACCTGCTGCTCACTTTGATGTCTGTCAGGCTTAATGCCATAGCTCCAGGTTCAAATTAAGATTGCTTCAATAACTCCAGCAAAAAACATTTCGGTATATTTGTCATATTGTGGTACTTTACAAAGTACCAACAAGAAGTGCGGTTAAAAATTTGGCTAGTTTCAATGACTTTGGCCAATCTTTGGCAATTCACCGTCAGCAGTGCTTGACAAAATACAAACAAGGAACTTGTATTGATTGTTTGTACACTTAACAAAATACAAACAAGAAGTTTGTACAGAGTAAGGCTAAGTTACATGGTCGCGGCTATTTAATGGTTCACTGTTTAGACGCAGCACTAGTTTTATAAGTACCCAATGTGGAATTAAGGCTTTCACTCAACTCCTCAACAACCAACCCTATTTGATGTGTCGCTGTCTTAGAAATGGTACTACCCAATAACTTTTGTGTCACTGAACAACTCAAGACAATCTTGGTGCCAAGTAATTCACACATTTAAGTGTGGATTGAAAAGGAAGTGTCTGATGAAAAATCTGTAGTTACAAACCTTATTTATAACTACGACAGAGGGTACCCGGCCACGGCACTTGGTACTCCAGCTTCAGATTCATGTAAGTACTTAATTAATCTTATTTAATGTAATTCTGGTTCGGAAATAATGTTTATCTTTTGTAATTCAAGTGCCAAATAATGAAGACCTTTATATTTATAAATCATAAAAAATCAAATGAAGGATATTTCCCAAAACACCAACATAAATATCTTTTGTTGATATTACAAGATCGTGACAACTTTTTAATGACTAAAATGCTGAAAAATGAACATTAATTCTTGATAATGAAATTAACAAATATATAGGTGAATAGAAACAGATTGATTGTTATCTGACAGTGGCTAAGATATGATGTCCCTGATGTCTGACAGTGGCTAAGATATGATGTCCCTGATGTCTGTCAGTGACTAAGATATGATGTCCCTGATGTCTGTCAGTGACTAAGATATGATGTCCCTGATGTCTGTCAGTGACTAAGATATGATGTCCCTGATGTCTTACAGTGGCTAAGATATGATGTCCCTGATGTTTGACAGTGGCTAAGATATGATGTCCCTGATGTCTGACAGCGGGTAAGATATGATGTCCCTGATGTCTGACAGCGGGTAAGATATGATGTCCCTGATGTCTGACAGCGGGTAAGATATGATGTCCCTGATGTCTGACAGCGGGTAAGATATGATGTCCCTGATGTCTGACAGCGGGTAAGATATGATGTCCCTGATGTCTGACAGTGACTAAGATATGATGTCCCTGATGTCTTACAGTGGCTAAGATATGATGTCCCTAATGTCTGACAGCGGCTAAGATATGATGTCTCTAATGTCTGACAGTGGCTAAGATATGATGTCCTTGATGTCTGACAGTGGCTAAGATATGATGTCCCTGATGTCTGACAGTGGCTAAGATATGATGTCCCTGATGTCTGACAGTGGCTAAGATATGATGTCCCTGATGTCTGACAGTGGCTAAGATATGATGTCCCTAATGTCTGACAGTGGCTAAGATATGATGTCCCTAATGTCTGACAGCGGCTAAGATACGATGTCCCTGATGTCTGACAGTGGCTAAGATATGATGTCTCTGATGGAATGCTCAGGACAGATATTTGTTTTGCTGAAGAATGCCTTCCATTTCTGTCATTGCAGCCACAAAACTGGATTTCTCAGACGGAACCATTTGTTTGAGAGTTGAAGAATTGCAAATCTAGTAGCGAACCCTGGGTATGTGCAAACTTTTGATTAATTTACATATATATACAATTGAAATGTTTGATGTGTTGAGTCAGTCCCCAAACATTGATGTATAAACAACCTAGATATCTGATAAGGCAGGTGTCAACCTTACACACTATTGCGTATTACACAGATTGATATAAATATTGCTTAGTCCTAAAGAGTATATTTATACACATATGTTGACAGTAAGCTGTTTAAAAAAGACAATTGTATTTAAGAATTTCTTATCTTTCATTTTTAGAGATTTTAACTAAATTGTAGGTATTTGCTCTGAGTTCTGCATTCTATCAAATTGACTGTAAACCATCATATGTTTTAGCTTGATATAAAATTTACTGGGCTGAAATTTATCTGTATTTAAATAATGATGTAATGATGTATGTAGCACTGTATATAGAAAATTAATCCGAACAACTTTACAGTACATGTATAATGACCTTTCCCGAGTTACACATCATAAATATCTGAGCCATATAAGTCTAGACTTTAAAATCTGCATGTATGTCGTTGTTCTTCATGTGGACATAGGGAGACACAGAATTTACAAGTCGGTTTATAAAACAGTAGACTTCTGCCTATAAAATCCACAGGAATATGAAAGGAGACAGATTTATTAAAAGATTGCAGTTTATTAAACATTTGTGTAATCCAACACTGCTGATGTGTGTGATTGTCTGATATCTAGTATACCCAGGGTAATATGACATACACTGTACCCTAACGAGTTACATATATTTGTAAATTGAGCACCTAAGTCAGTAATTATAGATCTGTCAGATCTTGTTTGCCTTCCAAACTATTCAATAGGTGACATTATACAGACACAATAATTATACTAGATTCTGTTTCAAAATTTATTGGTCTGGAAACTTTGATGAAAAAAAATTGTAAAAACTTTTGTAATTTAAAGTATTCCTGAATTTGGACAAATGATTAGAATCTTTGTATACACACCTTATATTGACTGTTTTTTTGTGTATCTATTTCACTGATAAAAACTGTCAATACAACTTTTTTATTGTCCATATAAACACTAATATGTACATATATATATTGAAAATTGAACCACAAAATCTCATTTTAAACAATTTGCACACTATACATGTCTCTGATCATTATCTGATACCCAGTCGATTGCGCTACACTCAACGCCGGTTGGTATCTGACGACAGTCTCTGATCTGAAGCATCCTAAAATTCACTATGACTTAAGGACTTTCCACCCTTCGTAATACACATGTTTTTGTTTTTGTTTTTTTGTAATCATTACATATATATAAACAGGACATTCAAGCATTCTCACATATACACACACAGACATGGATTTAGCATTATCACAAGCATTTTCATTGTCATCATAATATCATCATCATCATCTGGATCAGAATTATCAGCATCAGCATCAACAATATCATCATCATCATCATCATCATCATTCATCTTTATCATCCTCTTTCATATATAGTTATTCAATCATCATCATTGCCATCATCCATCATCATTATTATCATTATCATCATTGTCATATAATCTTTATCATCATCATACAATCGTCATTCCATATGTATCTTCATCAACATAACATCATCATCCTCCTCCTCCTCCTCATCATACAATCATCATCATACAATCATCATCATACAATCATCATCATCGTCATAATCAGTGTCATCATCATCATCATCATCATCATCCATAATCTTCAATCATCATTTCATATGTATCATCATCAAAATATAACTAGAACACTGACAGGTCAGTAAGGGCCCCGTCTTGTGGCAATATATCCCCCATAATCATCAAGAAGCAATCTGCCCATATAGCTGAGCTTGACGTTTGATATTTGCACTTCAAAAAGAATCACAAAGAAGCAAAATATACATTTTCCATGTACTATGATGTGAGTCTTGTTTCCTTCCACCTCCATATTTGCTGGGCTAACAGAAATGTAAATACCGGTGCAATACTCATTTGTTAGCTTTGATTTGTTTTATTT